AAATATATTTATTGAGGGGCAGCCCGGGTGGCTCAGTAGTTTAGCGCCACCTTCAGTCCAGGGCGTGACCCTGGGGTCCCGGGATTGAGTTGTGGAGCTTGCTTCTCCCTCTGCCTGTGTCTCTGCCTCTCTCTCTGTGTCTCTCATAAATAAATAAATAAATAAATAAATAAATAAATAAATAAATAAAATATTTTAAAAATATATATTTATTGGTCATTTGTATTTCTTCTTCTGTTAGTTGCCTATTTATTTATTTTTGCTTACTTTCCCATTTCCCTATCCTTTTTTAATTTTTATTTATTTATGATAGTCACACACACAGAGAGAGAGAGAGAGGCAGAGACATAGGCAGAGGGAGAAGCAGGCTCCATGCACCGGGAGCCCAACGTGGGATTCGATCCCGGATCTCCAGGATCGCGCCCTGGGCCAAAGGCAGGCGCCAAACCGCTGCACCACCCAGGGATCCCCCATTTCCCTATCCTATTGTCATTTTTTTTCCCCTCACTGGTTTCGAAGAATTCTTTGTATATTAAGTTACAGATCTTGCCAAATGACTGCACCAAGTTGACACAAAGGAACAACTCTTGTGTTTGGGAGGACCCGGTAGGGCTACCTACCTCCGCACACCTGGCCTCATCACAAGGTCGCAGGCCTCCTTGCCGTATTCCCCCAAACTCACCCCCTGCCCCGTCCCCCACTGACGAGAGCCAGCAAGAGGGGAACAGTGGGACTGGTGCAGAGCCTCCACCTGGCGTGTCCCCCTGGAGGCACCACATGGGGCACCGGTCACGTTAAGGAACAAGCCAACGCTGCCGTTTGAAATGGAGCTTGAGAGCTTGAGAGCTCGGTATCGCTGGAGTCACTCCCAGCACCGGGGCCCCTGGAATGATCTGAATAAAGAGATCAACTGCCATCAATCCAAGTCAGAGATCACTCAAGGACCTCCTGTCTTCAGCCTCAGTGGGCAGCAAAGGGCAGGCCGCAAACCCAGTCTGCAGGGGCCGCGGCCGAAACCCAGGGCGAGTAGCTTAGGAGATTGTGCACGCTTTCAGGATTGTTACTTGCCTTTTAATTTAAATCCTCTTAATGAAAATTTACTTTACCTTTAGGATGTTTGACAGAAATTTTAGAGCGCACGTAATCAAAGCTTTTAATTTTTAGCTCTGGCCATCTCCCGTTTCTTTTCATTCAACTTTTTTAAAAGTTGGCTTTTTACAGTTAGCCCCTTGATCCATCTGGAATATATTTTAGAGTATGGTATCGGGAAAGAGTAACAGTGACATTCCCCCCAAGTAGCCAATAGTCTCAGCATTATTTAGCTAATGATTTAAGAGTTAAAAAAAAAAAAACTTAAAAATTTATTTTTATTTTTATTTTTTTTAAAGATTTTATTTATTTATTCATGTGAGACACACAGAGAGAAGCAGAGACAAAGGTAGAGGGAGAAGCAGACTCCCTGCGGGGAGCCCGATGTGGACTCGATCCCAGGACCCTGGGCTCATGACCTGAGACAAAGGCAGATGGTCAACCACTGAGCCACCCAGGTGCCCCCACCCCCCAAAAAAAATACCTTGACGTAACTTTACACTCTTAAGAAGCTGCTCTTGTAAACCTTTAATTCAGCTTCCCTTACTGGATTCCCCTGCTTAATTAATTAGTTTACTCAGACATTTCATGACTTCCTTGTCTCTGAAAGTGTGGTTGTGCCTGTAATTTACAATACTGAAGCTTGAAACATTGATGACAAAAGTCATAAAATAGGTTCAAGGCCACGTGGGTCTTTCATTACTAGAATAAAATTCGAATTTAACATTAGAACTGCTGACTGGATCAGGAAACCTTCTCTAATTTCTCTTGTTTTCCTTAGAATCAGCCTCTTGCAGATAAGATACAAATACACGGCCAATGCTCTTACCAACAGCCATGTGATCACTCTTGGAAAAATCAGCTGTCAATCACTTGCTGCTTTTGGTCATGGACAATATATGTAGGAACCTAGGCTTTACTATTGGGACTCATAAAATGCTAACCCCATCTTAAATCCTTTGTTTTTTTTTTTTAAAGATTTTTTAAATTTTCATTTATTTATGATAGTCACAGAGAGAGAGAGAGAGAGAGAGAGAGAGGCAGAGACACAGGCAGAGGGAGAAGCAAGCTCCATGCACCGGGAGCCCGACGTGGGATTTGATCCCGGGTCTCCAGGATCGCGCCCTGGGCCAAAGGCAGGCGTCAAACCGCTGCGCCACCCAGGGATCCCCCATCTTAAATCCTTTGTAAGAGGATGTAGAACTATAAACATATAAATCAAGACTGAATGAGGGGAAAGCAAATAACAAAATCTAAAATTATGGAAAAATCAAAATAGAGTGCCAACCGTGTGGAAAAATAACTTTCTCAAATCCTAAAGGAAAATGTGAGAGATGTAATTACGTTTCTACACAATGGAAAATGTAACCAAAGCAATACTGGGAGAAATATGACAGATTTTTTAAAAAAGATCTTTACTAAGACTCTGATTTTTTAAGGTTTTATTTATTTGGGGCAGAGAGGGAAAAAGAGTGCATTGTGCATGCACACAAGTAGGGGGAAAGTCAGAGGGAGGGAGAGAGAGAGAAACTCAAGCAGGCTCCGCGCACTGAGTGTAGAGCCAGATGTAGGGCTAAATCCCACGACCCCTAGATCATGACCTGAGCTGAAATCAAGAGTTGGAGGTTTACCAACTCAGCCACCCAGGTGCGCCTCACGACTCTGATTTGTAAAAAATAATCTTTGATAGAAATATTAACAAAACATGAAAAAAAACAATTTACACACACAAAAATAAAATTAAATGTTGAAATAAATGTTCATTCTTATAAATGATCGTAAAAATTAAATTAGGAAATTTATTTTTTAAAGTAATTCTCAATGTTGTCATAATTAGAGCAGAGCCACTAGGTTCCCATATTGTTAGTAACGCTGTAAAATGGCACGTACAACACGTTGTAAAAATACCTGAAATGGCCGTTATGTGGGAACAGCTGTAAAATGCATCTCTCTTGACCGAACAATTTTACTCCTATTGAAGCAGTAGCACAGAATTATTCATGATAGCACTTTTTATGATGAGAACAACTGACATATCTAACATCTGGGGAGTAATCTGATCATTACGGAACAGCATGACAGAGTCTTAGGTTGTCACTGAAATTCTAACAATGAATATGTAGAATGTTGGACAAATAAAATGGACAAATAGAATGTTGGACGTAATAAAATGGTTGCAAAGATAAAATGTATAAATGTGGAAGGGAATCTGAAAATGAACTGGGTCAGAATGTGAGGATTACTGTTGCTTTAAAAATTTGCTCAGATTTCTGAAACTTGTGTTATTTCACATTTTTTTAAAACCATGTCAATCTTTTGAGATGCTGGGATGTGTTCCCAGTCCTCCTCTCTGTACCTGTGCCCAATAAAAAGAAATCTTACAGGGACTTGTTGGCCTTCAGTTCTATCAGTGTATTCCTAAATGATAGTATTCAAAAATCTGACTTTCTTCATCACATAACGAGTATCATCCCCTTAAGGGTCAAAAAACAATCAATCAACAATTTGTAACCCTTATACCAAGAGTTTCTTCTTCTCTCAACTCTCATTAGTTATTTATTCCTTTCTCCAGAAAAACTATCCCCCAGATTTTGGATTAGAATACGACCCTTGGCATATGCTCCAAGGGTACCACTACTTTTTTTTAAAAGCATACTTTGTATGATAAAATTATTTCCTTTATTATCGATAATCATGTAAAGTATGTTTTCCTCCTCTGGTTTAGAAGCTCCATAAAGCCAGAAATGTCTGTTTTGTTCATTGATACTCTCCTGCTGCCTGACAGGTAGGCTATCCCCATATATTTGTTGATGAATCAAACAAACAAAAAAATAAAACAGAAATCCAAAAACCCTAAATAAAATATTAGCATATTGAGTTTAGTGATATATTTTTTAAAATACTTAATTTTTAAGTATGGTTTGTTTTAGGAAATAAAGGGTAGCATGTTATATAATTATTACATCAATGTATCAAAGGAGACAAATTTTCTCTATAGATGAGAAAATAAATTAGATAAAATTCAACACATCTCCCAATCAAAAAAAAAAAGTCTCGAGGCATCTGGGTGGCTCAGTTGGTTAATCGTCTCTCTCTCAAATAAAGAAAATCTTAAAAAAAAAAGTCTCTTAATGAGCTAGAAAAAGGATGCTTTAACATGATAAAATATTTAATTTTTATTTATTTATGATAGTCACACACACACACAGAGAGAGAGAGAGAGAGAGAGGCAGAGACACAGGCAGAGGGAGAAGCAGGCTCCATGCACCGGGAGCCCGACGTGGGACTCGATCCCGTGTCTCCAGGATCATGCCCTGGGCCAAAGGCAGGCGCCAAACTGCTGCACCACCCAGGGATCCCTGATAAAATATTTAAAACTAACATTGTACCTAATAGTGAAACCGTGAAGGCAAGGATGCCGCTTCCCATCATTAATAAGCAACATTATTCTAGAAACATCAGCCAATGCCACAAGGCTAGAAAGAAGAATCAGAAAATGATAGTTGTATGTAGACTACAACTGCCAATCTGAAAAGCCTAAGATTAAATGAAGAATTTCAGTAAGCAAGTTCGGTAAGGCGGCCAGTTACCAAATACACGAACATACTATAAAAAAGCAATATACTTAAAACAGTGCAGTATTAGCATAAGAATAGCAGATCAACGTAATAGAGCGTAGAAAGAGATTTAATTTTTTTGCCATTCAAGAAATTACTGTGGAACTGACCATTGAGCAAGCGTGGATTATTTAATTGTATTGGGATATTATGGACAAATAGACCCCAATATGAAGCTGTGCATCAATATAATATTTCATAGTTTCATGATATTTCTTTTTTTTCTTAAGGGGAGACACCGACTTTTTTCCCCCATGGTTTCCGTTTGCCCCGACACCCCCAAGCGGGCCTTACCGGCATCGTGATCTGGATGGGTTGCCGTTCTCCGCTCTTGGTTGGGGCCACACCTTCTGTGTCATATATGCCCGTATAAACAACTCGGTCCCCATCTGGCTCCTTCGACTTCAGCTCCAGCGGGACAAGCACGCCACCAATGGAAATGTTCCTGCAATGGACGTGAGGTGACTGTATATGGTAGGAATTAACTTAGGCACCCTGTCCTGGTTTGGACCATAACCCTAGGCCGGAATCCTACAGGGTTTGGCTCAAGGGGACATCTGATGGGGAGGAAAGTTCGGAAAGGTGAAGACGCTTGAGTTCTCCAACTTACCAGTCATGTGACCATAGACTAATGACTTCATCTCTCTGGACTGACCTTAGTATTCTCATCCAGAACACTTGTCTAAAGTGGAGCCGGATTATCATTCGCCTCTATAGTTTCTTATCTCTGGAGCTATTAAAAACGTGCCCATTCCCAGTCTCATCTCAAACCCTAGAACTTAGAATTCAATATGGTCAGGTCTGGTTTGGCCACTGGTAAATTTAAGGTTCTCTAGGTGATTCCAACGTGCAGGAACGACTGAAAAACCACTGAACTCGTTCTTTAATGATTTCTTCTGTTCGAACAATCAGAGATCCCGTGATCTAGGGCTGCACAAGCAGAAATTCTCACTGGCATCATTCCTTTATGTTAACTTAGGGATTCTCCAGGTTTAGTCCCTGGAGCAGCAGTGTCAGTATCACCTGCCCAGGTATCAGAAAACAAAATACTAAGCCCCACCCCAGACATAGTAAACTGTAAATTCTAGGGTGGGCTCGGCCATCTGTGTTTTAAGAAGCCTTTGAGGTGATTCTGACACTCAAGCTTAAGAACTACTAGGTTAGGGCAATGAAAAATCCTTGATAAAAATCAAAGTGCAGGGGCACCTGGGTGGCTCAGGTGGTTAAGTGCCTGCCTTTGGCTCAGGTCGTGATCCCCGGGTTCCAGGACCCAGTCCCACAACCAGCTGCCTGCTCAGTAGGGTCCGCCTCTCCCTTTGCCCCTCCCCCCTGCTCTTGCACAGCTTCTCACTCTCAAATAAATAAAATCTTAAAAACAGTACAGTGAGAAGAGAAAAAAAAATAGTCCTGTCATTTAAAAAAAAAAAGATTTTATGTATTCCTGAGAGAGAGACAGAGAGAGGCAGAGACACAGGCGGAGGGAGAAGCAGGCTCCCTGCAGGGAGCCTGATGCAGGACTTGATCCGGTGACCCTGGGGTCACGCCCTGGGCCCAAGGCAGACGCTCCACCTCTGAGCCCCCCCAGGCATCCCTAGTCCCGTCCTTAACATAGATTCATTTTAGATTAGTTTAAAAAATAGAGAACCACCGTGAAGAAAATGAGATGTAGGACAGATAACTTGGGAGAAGAGGTTGCGAGGAAAGAAGGGACAGGAAAAGTCTGGGCTATGTGGAAGTGCAGGGAACGCGGGGAAGCCGAAGGTAACCCATGCACGTGGCTGCAGGGCTGGCGACACAGGGGTCGGGCGCGCCTGCCACCTCGCAGTGGGGTTCTAGGGCCTTGGATTAGGGCCTGACACCTGGAAGGCCTACACCGCCCCGGATGAGGGCCTGCCGGGCTAGGGCGTGCAGGGGGCTCGGGGCCTCCCGGGCTAGGGCGCCAGGGGTGGGGCTGGACCCCCGCTGCCCGGGTGGGGCGGGAGAGGTCACCGCGCTACAGAGAAACCAAGAGACATCCTCTGGTTGCAGGGATGGCGCCGTGTCACCGGGACAAACAGACAGCCCCGGGGGGGGGGGGAGCAGGAGGGACAGCCTGCAGGACATGCCCCGGGGTCGCGGCCGAGGGAGGGGGGAGCATCCCTCGGGGACCCCCCTCCCCGCGCCTCGCCTCTGCGCCTCGTTGCGCATCCTGGCTCTGGCGGAGGGCGGACTGCGGCAGGGGGAGCAGCGGGGAGCCCCGGGGCACGGGGAGGGGGCTGCCGAGGCCTGGGCACCAGGGGTGGCACGTTGACAGGGACCCCCCGCGCCCCCCAGCCAGGCCTCCTGCCGCCCTGTAAACATCCCTGGGCGCGATGGGTGGGCGGGAGCGAGAGGGGAGGTGGGGGCACGCGCGGGGGCACGCGCTGGGGCAGGGGCAGGGGCAGGGGCAGGACCCGGGCCCCCCCCCCCCCCCGGCCGCGCCTACTCACTCGACCTGCAGGCTGCTGGGCTTGAGCTTCACCTCCACCTTGTAGGACGAGCCGGTGAGCAGCTTGATGGTGCGGTTCTGGCCGAAGCGCTGCCCGTCCACCTTGAAGAAGACGGGGCCGTCGTTGGGCTGGATGCGCAGCGCGATGGAGAGGCGCACGGCGCCCGGCAGGTCCCCCATGGCTGCGCGCGCGGGGGCGGGGGCGGGGGCGCGCGGGGCGGGGCGCGGCGCGGGGGCGCGGGGGGGCGCGGGGGGCGCGGGGGCCGCAGCATCCGCCGCGCTGCTCGGGGGCGCGGCCCGCAGGCCCGGGGCTGGGCGGCGCGGCCGGAGGGGACTTAATCCTGTTTACGCGCCGCCATCCCTGCGGCCGCGGGGGGGACGTGGGGCTCCTCCTGGAGACGTGCAGGGGTGCGGGGGGTGCGGGGCTGCCGGGCTCCGGGGTGCAGGGGTGCGGGGGTGCAAGGCTCCGGGGTGCAGGGGTGCAAGGCTACGGGGTGCAGGAGTGCAGGGGTGCGGAGTGCGGGGTGCAGGGGTGCGGGGTGCAGGGCCTCGGGCTCCCCACGCCGCCCTGCTCGGCCGGCCGAGGGCCGCGGAAGCCGTAGCTGGCGAATCGGGCGGGCCCCGGAGGAGGAGGAGGCCGCGCGGGCAGGGGAGACGCGGCAGGAAACCGCTACTCAGTAGCCAGTGATTTAAATTCCAGGAAATGCGAGCCTTTCCAAGGCTTAGGGGAAATGGCCGCGGGAAGGCGCAGGTCCAGATAATGCGCCCTGAAAGCGACCCTGGACTAGAAATGTGTGCAAGAAAAAGATGATTTATATGATGATCATACATACATGCAAGAAAAAAACAAAATAATATATTTATATGATTTATATGATGATCATATATACATGCAAGAAAAAGAAAATCATATATATATGATTTATATGCAAGAAAAATAAAGTCATATATGATTTATATGATGATCCTATATATATGCAAGAAAAAGAAAATCATATATATGATTTATATGATGATCATATATACATGCAAGAAAAAGAAAATCATATATATGATTTATATGATGATCCTATATATGCAAGAAAAAGAAAATCATATATATATGATTTGTATGCAAGAAAAAGAAAATCATATATATGATTTATATGATGATCATACATACATGCAAGAAAAAGAAAATCATATATATGATTTCTATGATGATCCTATATATGCAAGAAAAAGAAAATCATATATATATGATTTGTATGCAAGAAAAAGAAAATCATATATATGATTTCTATGATGATCATGTATATGCAAGAAAAAGAAAATCATATATATATGATTTATATGCAAGAAAAAGAAAATCATATATATGATTTATATGATGATCATATATATGCAAGAAAAAGAAAAGAAAATTATATATATATGATTTGTATGATCATATATACATACAAGAAAAAGAAAATCATATATATATGACTTACATGATGATCATATATATATGCAAGAAAAAAATCATATATATATGATTTACATGATGACCATATATATATTATACATATTTATATATATATATATACACATTCCAGGAGCTGCACTTTCTTGTAGGTGTGTATTTTCTTATGCATATTCTTGGGTCAAGACTGACACGGTGTAATGAGTCACATATATTTACATGGATCCTGAAAGGTGAGCGATTAACCCTGTAAAAGGCAACTGGCAGGTGCCTGAGGCATCGCTGGTGACGAAGGCCAAGAGGAGGGATTGGTGGCAAGATGACTGGCGGGGCGGCCCTTGCGACTCGGCGGATCTGAGATGCGCGTGATGGGATGGAGAAGTTGGTTGACATCTGGCGACCCAGGGTGCTGGGCTCCTCCGGGGACGGCTTCGCGGGCTTCAGCACCACCTGCCTGGATAGTTACGGGGGCCCTGAGCTCACCTGGCCAAGGCCAGGGCATGTTAGTGAGGACCGGTGCGTAGGGACCCGTCTGCACGGCAGCCCTCATTCAATCAGGCTAGTATTGCTTCTCTTTAGAAAAACCATCATGTCGAAGATGATTTGTTTGCTACATTATTCTACAAAAATACATCAGGTTTCATTCTCGTTTCAGAGTTGTTTGCAATCTTGCCCACGCGACTCTTTGGTGTTAAATTCAGGGTTTTGCATAATGGTTCGCTTTTCTACATCGATAAATTTGCTGATCATACCATCGTCGTTGACATTAAGTAAAATCTATTTTTTTAAAGATTTATTTATTTATTCATGAGAGACACAGACTGAGAGGCAGAGAGGCAGAGACACAGGCAGAGGGAGAAGCAGGCTCCACGCAGGGGACTCGATCCCGGATTCCGGATGACGACCTGAGCCAAAGGCAGGCGCCTAACCACTGAGCCACCCATGCGTCCCAGTAAAATCTCTCTCTCTCACTCTTTAAAAACAAAACAAAACAAAACAAAAACTAATATATATGTTCTTTACAAAACATGTATAAGTTTTGGGGACAGGAGCTCTTTTTTCAGGTCACCTAATAATGCCTACCGTGGTGTCTTCTGCAAAGGGACCCATCAAGTATTTGTGTTTATCCGAATCGTTCAGACTTCACTGAGAGGGAGGGAATAAGGCTGGAGGGAACGACTTGAAAATGTGCCTCGGCAGCAGAGGCAGTTTGTGTAGTAGTTAAACCCAGAAGCCTTCCAGTCAGACTTGTTAAAATCCTCACTCGATCTCCTTGCCAGTTGTGTGACCTTGGGCAAATTTCACAACCTCTTGGAAACGTTTTTCTCATTTGTAAAAGGGGTGGAGGAAAGCAGAGGCTGGCTCTCTGGTAGGGTTATTGCGAGTGTCAAATGAGACGATGCACATTCTCTAATATCGGCCATTATTATTAAGGTTTGGGGTCGGGGATACACATGGCCCATAAACATGTTTCAGGATGCTCAGCTATCTCTACTAAAAAAGCCAGAGGAATGTAGACTAAATCAGTAATATCAAATGTTTTTGTCTATCAACTTGACAAAATTTTCAAAGACTTAAAATTCACCGTGGGTAAAGATGTAGGGATCAGCCCTGTCATAGGCTGGTGGAAAAATATAGTGGTTACCACCTTTTATTAGAAGTAAAGTAGTGAATTTACTAAAAGTTAAACCATAAATGGGGTGCCTAGCTGGCTCAGTTGGTAGAGCATGCAGCTCTTGATCTCAGGGTTGTGAGAGTTCAGGCCCCATGTTGGGTGTAGAGGTTACTTTAAAAATTAAAAATAAATTAAAATAAATAAAAATAAAAAATTTAGGGACACCTGGGTGGCTCAGTGGTTGGGCACCTGCCTTTGGCTCAGGTCATGGTCATGGGATCTGGGATCGAGTTCCATGTCGGGCTCCCTGCATGGAGCCTGCTTTTCCCTCTCCCTGTGTCTCTGCCTCTGTGTGTGTGTGTCTCATGAATAAATAAATAAAATCTTAAAAAAAATAAAAATGAACAATTTTAATTAAAAATTTAAAAATTAAACTATATGTGTATCTATGTGTATATATACACACACGCACACATACATACTGTTGAGCCAACAATCCTACTTTTAAAACCAATCCTTCAGACAAAATAAAGGCATGATTACATTGGAGATATGCTATTTGGCTATCAATTGCAGCATTGATTGTAAATATCGAAACAAAGCATAAACTGAATGTCAACCGAGAAATAAACGGCTGAATAAATTCTTACATGCCCATGCTGTAGAATTTATGCCACTGTTAACATAATAAATTGTATGCTGTACTGGCAAACACATGCACTAAAACTCTTTTTTTTTAAAAGATTTTATTTATTTATTCATGAGACACACAGAAAGAGAGAGAGAGAGACACAGGCAGAGGGAGAAGCAGGCTCCATGCAGGGAGCCCGATGTGGGACTCGATCCCAGGACTCCAGGATCACGCCCTGAGCTGAAGGTGTCACTAAACCACTGAGCCACCCGGGCTGTCCCTGCTAAAACTCTTCATGATAGAAATGAGGTGGCTACACGGTGGCAGACTGGCAGCTCGAGGTCAAACACGTCGTCTGGTTTGTTCATTGCTGTATCCCAGCATGCACAGAACAGTGCCTGGCACATAGTAGGTGCTCCATAAATATCTGTCGAGTCGAATTTCTGTCCTTAGTTTAAACACGTTCATATGCAAATTCTCCTGTATCTTGAAAAGTAATTAGATCCAAGTGATTTATCTGGAGTAACATAAATTGAAAAAAAAAATCTGATTGCAAATGCTATCTATCGTATGATGGTATTTCAAAACACTAACAATTTTAAGACCATATAAATGTGTGTACGTTTTCTATTTATCCTTTTGAAAAATTAGAAGGAACACAGCAAACATAATGTTGGGGACTCTGATGGATAGGGACTGGAAAGAGGGTGATACTCTTTTGAAATTATTTTAAAGTCTTTTTGGAAATTTTACTGTTTTCCTCTGCGTTTTGGTCAGCAATCCCAGTCTCAAGTCAACTTCCATCTGCATACTGAAAAGAGCGTCGGAGTCCCAGGATCGAGTCCCGCGTCGGGCTCCCTGCATGGAGCCTGCTTCTCCCTCTGCCTGTGACTCTGCCTCTCTCTCCCTCTCTCTGTGTATCTCATGAATAAATAAATAACAATCTTAAAAAAAGAAAAGAAAAGAGCGTCGGGTGTGGAGTAAGATGACTTCAGTTTGATTGCTGACTCAGCCACTAATTGGTTTCTTTATGCAAAGCACTTAAAATCTTTGCATTTCAATTTTCATTATGTATAAAATGGGAATTAAAATACATCCCCCCCCCAAAAATAGATCCTTCCCAATGGTATGAGAATCAAATGAGAATATGGAAAGCATTTGAAAAAATAAATTACTTTTCAAATATGAGGTGTTGTGGATGCTGTTCATTGAGGGTAACATTTTGAGAATGGAATAATTCCTGTGCAAATGTGCAAAGGGCACGGGTATGTAGTATAACGGATCTGTGTTTGTATTCTTGTTCTGCTGATTATAAGCTGGTGACGTCGAACAAGCCAAGCTACTTAACCTCTGAGGTCCCCAGGTTTTTCATTTGTTTAATGATAGTGGTAACATATACGATGCTCATAGAATCCAATGAGATTGTGTAAAGCAAGAATATCAGTCACATAATAGATACTTAATAAATTGTAGCTATTTTTGTTTATTTGAAAGTATGTTACTAGATTCTAAGGTCTCTA